GACTCTGGGACATATGTTTCGTTTGCTCTCAATTTTAGGTCCACTGCGATACGGCGTCGAGTGCTCAAACTCCCAACCCACACTGGTGTTAGGATCGCTGCGCATTTCGGCTTAACAAGGATGCTAAACGAGGTAGTGGAAATGGCTGTCCAATGGGATAATGTTACAGTTCACTTACCTTTCCCGATGCCGAGAACGGACTGCCAAGTGCGATCCAGAACGGCTCTTAAGATGTTTCAGGCATTCCAGGACGTTAAGTCGAAGACTGGACGGCCGACGAGAGTGCTGCCTTTTACCCTGGTGCCAACTTGGATGGCTGAGCCGCGGGCCTCCACTGCGTTGGAGGTGTGCGGAGTTCCGGCCGACCAAGGCATCATCGGGGAGAGGATTGAGACTCGAATGAATCAGAAGTGGAAAATGTACTGGAAAGACTTGGATCAATGTCGACAAACGAAGCTTTGGTTCCCGGAGCCAAACACAAGGTTGTCCAAATCCATTTTAAGGCTTAACAGAGCGATGCTGGGGCCTGTGCTTCATTTTATCACAGGTCACGGATGGCTCAACCGTCATAAAGCAATTGTTGAAAAGAGTGGGACACCCAGATGCCGCCTCTGCCAAACGGGATCATCGGAGGAACCGGGTCATCTTTGGAGGAGTTGTCCTGGAACTGCAGAACTAAGATCGAAACTACGTATAGTTGATCCGCTCAGAGCTGGATCTGTTGAAAGTCATTCAACCCAAACGGGAATCGTCCTCCGCGATCACGCGCAACGTCGCAGAATGGTCGCTGGCGGGGCGGATCACGGGGGTGCAAAAGTTCATTTACCTAGAGCGCGAGTCGTCTCCCACGATCAACAGCAATACAGCTTGATGGTCCACGGAAGAACGGCTCATGACAACGGTAATATTCCTTTATGTTGGTCCTTGAAGCAGCTCCGCCGGTTCCTTGGAACCACCCCTGTGGCGGAGCTTTTCTTGGACCCAGGATAGATCATCATTGTTTGTACA